AGCTTACCGAGTTTTAGAAAAAAGTAACGATTTCATTCGATATTTCCGTTACAAATACTTGTACTTTTTCCCTAAAAAAGTAACGAAAGTACAAGTAAAAGTACTAAATTTAAAAAGTAACGAAGTACAAGTAAAAGTACGTACTTTTTACTTGTACCGGCGGTACAAGTAACGAAAGTAAAAGTACTGCCATATATGGTACTGAGGTAGCTCAGAGAACTGAGATTGCTCGACTCCTAATGAGATTACCCATATTCGAATGCCAGCATCGACTGATTTTTTTGAATGCTGCTCTCGGCTTGAACTCATCACATGTAGTTTATATTAAGGTAAATGACTAGAACAAAAATATGATTTTGTAAAAAATTTTCGAAGTTGAGTTTATTATAAATTTAGAATCCCTGTAATCTAAACCCTGTAATCCCTATCTAAAAATAATTTACTTTTGTTTGTTCTCCAATTATTTATAAATTATAGCAGTTTTTGCGCAAGGTGCTAACAGTGGATAGACTACTAATTTTAAGTCTTTAATTGTGTTTAGCTCAAAAACAGTTTTTTTTGTTGCATTTTACACCACCTAAAACATAATTTATTATGTTGTTTTTAAGATAATTGCTTACAATTTTTCAGCAGTGTTTATGATTATAGCACACATGTTTTCAGCAACGAACTAAGAGAAAAATGCAGAATTTCATTTTTTATGTATGTTTTTTAGCGAAGAGTTATACGAAACAGCGAAAACATAGTTGATAGTCATCTAAATAAAATCCTCAGAGGGTTTTTTTGTTTTAGACAAAAGAAATTTTTTTTGCAGAGCGTATATGCAAAAAAAAAGCCTAAAATTTCCCCAAAAATGAGCATTTATAAAAAAATTTATAATAGTATATTTTTTACTAGTTTTATAAATTTTTACATATAATAAAATAAACTAGTTTTTAAAAATTTTATATTAGTATTTTCAAAAAATTTTTAGAAACTTGTCGAATAACTTAAAATAACATCATTTGCTTGCACTTATCTTCTAAAGAAACAGGCGCCTGATTTAAAATAGCAGAATGTTTTGTAAAATAAATGGTTTTATTCAGGCACTCCAGCGGACAGTTTTTTTCCGCAAGTTTAACAGAATCTTTTTTAGAATGATTCTTTTTTAGAAAAATACTTGCCAAGGTCGAAAATTGTTAAAAATTAGAACTACTAGAATTGTTTATTCAAACAAGAATATAGGTACCTATAAATAATGAGTAAATATTTTCAAATGTCCCAATTTAATTTGTTTCTGATGTGTGATTCGTAGTAATATAGAGTACCATAAAGTTATAGCCTCACAATTATTTTAGGTCAGTTATGTAAATGAAAGGGAAATTTGACTTGTTAACTAAAGCAGAAAGCTTTCTACGGCTATACTCTGTAGTAAGTTAAGAAAAAAGCATTATCCCTAGGTAGGGAGCCTTTTTGCATCGAATTGTAAGCCAAATGGAAGCTAAGCTCACAGCACGAAGCAATACAACTCAACATCGCCAACTCTTGAAATGACACTGTACCTCCTTCTTTTTATGCTCTTATTGTTACACTTTCTGGAATATGTTGCTAAAATGACAACTCACAAACTATATTGCACTCTAATTTTTGTACTAGTATAATTAAAGTTTGAAGAAACAATAACTATATTTCTATTGTCCTACACCATATAAATGAACCATAATTTATGAACCTTACACTGAAAATTCATTTAACGATATAAGAAAATTCCTACTAACTCCAACATTTGCTAAATATTTTGTCCTAAAAATATTTTCTGCTAAGTGTCAAACAATAGACATGTTTAAACGATTAAATGTTTCCGCAGAAAACAGTATTCCGCACAAAGAATTTTGTTGAAATTTTCCAGGAAATTTGGAAAAATCGTAATATTTAAATTCTGAACTGAAGTAAAAGTGAACTCAAGTGCTGGTGCAAAAAAGAAATGTTATTGCCTTGTGTTTATAGGCTGTTTTAATGACTAATGATAACAGTGGAACTTTTTACAAGTTTTATAAATTGTACTAAAATTATACCAAAAATTAAGAATATATAGAATATCTCACTGAAATTTGCTGCAGAGCAAGAGGTAGTGGTTTTTTTTATATAATTTGATACTTAATTTATCTGTATGTTTTGTCTATTGCATCTATTTTGAGGTCATGATGTATTGCGTCATTTCTTACGAGCCATCTGGTTTATTCTGGTTGACTATTAATTTATTTATCTGAATTTATGTTATATTTGTCAAGACTGGCGAGACATGTGTAAGGATGGGGCGGATAATGGATAAATAGAGCAATCTTTTGAGTTTTAGTGCCATGTTGGATTGATAGAGTTTGCTGCTTGTGCTTTGCTGCTTATACTTTTGATGTGATCGTTCTAGTTGAATTTGATATAAAGGATGAGTCCTAGGTATTTGCCTTTATCAGTTATTGGTATCATTTCACTGAATATAATTAACTTGTTTTGTGGTAGTATTTTCTTCCTTTTTTATATCGGATGATTAGAAGTTATGATTTTTGGCCGTTTACTTGAAATTTCTACTCCAGGCGCCACTTTTCTATGACCTGTATCTTTTCTTGCAGTTTACTGAGGGCTCTGTTAGGATTTTTGGATTTTACTATTAATTGGAAAGTAAATGAATGAAGAGCTTGTATACAATGCCCTTATGCAGATAAGGGGACATGCTCTACAACGCCCTCTACACTTCATTTTTTTAAGGTTATTGGTGGGCTGTCGGGAACGCTACTTTGCATAAATCAGTTGTTTCTTAGCAATTGTAAAGCAGTGTAAGTAGCTATACTGGTCGGTAAAATAACAATATCAAATTACTCGCATTGTTTATTCCAGTTCAAGGACATGATCTTGAATGAACAAAAAACCAGATATTTTTAGTTGTTTTCCGAATGAAATTAACAAAAGATATTATATTGAGTTAAAAATAGGCGAACACCCTGAATAACTCTTAACCTAATAATTGGATTATCATGTACTAAAACTCAATAGGTTAAGGGTCTGAAACATCACAATATCAAATCATTTTTCTTATTAATCAAGAAAAAATGCATGACATAATCCTTATTAAACAAAAAAGAAATATTTTTAGTAGTCTCCAGTATAAAATTAACAAACAAATATCACAAAGTGAGCAATAAGTTTATGAGGGTGCAAATTCCCTGAATAACTTTTGATCTAATTATCGGATTCTCAAGCAATGTTACATCATTTCGGATACTAGTTTTCAATCTTAATGGTTCAAGGACCTAATCTTAGTAAGTGCAGACTTTATTCTAGGTTACAAAGTTAGTCTCAAACACATATAAGCAAAACTTTCTCTGAATAAACATACATTTATTTTGATGGATTATAAATAAAAATATTTGGGGTAGTTGCAATCTAGAAAATATGATCCAATTAATTTAGGCAGGAGAGCGATTGAAAGTTTAGTCCTCAGAATTTTTTTCTTTCCTTTTTGTACATTTCTCTATCTCAAACAAGTAGCATTTTTTAATTTTTATTTCACTTTTTCGCACACATTTTGCTTTCTTAAAGAAGTCATATTGTCACCGAAAAAAGTGTGGACAAACCTACTTAAATACTGCAAAATTTAACGCGTTTCAGGCACTATGGGAATACCGGAAGACTAGATAATTTTTACCGAAGCTCCTTGGTAATGATCGAGTTCGGTAAAATTAACAATAAAATATAGATTAATAACATGTGATGAAATTTTTAAATTAGGTGAGATCTGGCAATTTTACCATGATACCTTATCCATAAAAACAATTATTACTATACATAAATATTGATAAAATTTGATACGTAAACGCAATGTATTCCATTAAATTTACTTTCTCTATGATTTTCCGTTTTGTATTTTGTACTATTGAATTTTTTTTTCTAACTTCTTGTTTTCCGATAAACCATTAATGTGTGAATGGAAAAAATTAACACATTAATGGTTTAAACGGTTAACAAAGTTCCGGTGAAATGGTTTGAGTAACGCATATTCTGGTTTTATTAACCAAAATTCTTTTTTTTTACCAGAAACGTATAAATATATATATAAC